ATCCCTGCCAGAGGCACCTGAGCCTGTGAGGATGAGCAGGGTTTCATGTCTGTGCAGAACAGCAGCACCCAGTGCCCAGGCTGGGCAAGGCTCTGCCAGCTCTTGCCAACACCTCTTCCCAGGTGGGATGGCTCCTGGAGCACAGCCCTGCTTTATCCCTTCCACATCCACCTGCAACTTCCCTGGCTCCTGGAGCACTCTAATGTGACTTAAGGAACTAACTCACCAACCTCTGCAGGCACACAGATGCTGCAGAACCAGCAGCCCACACCACCTGTCCCCCTACTGCAGTCAGGCTCCCACACCTTAAACAAACAAGGGACTAATTCTGGTAATTCTTGGCCCAGAACCCCAAGCTGCCCTCCTCACCCCCAGTGAGGCAGCTCATGCCCTTCTGCTTCTCCAGGTGGTCCTCACAGTGAGGAGACCCCATCCTGGAGGCACCATGGGGCTCAGACACCTGGGCCTGCTGCTGCCTCCTCCTGCAGTGATGCTGAGGATGCCAAAATGCACTGGGAAAGAATAGAGTGCCTCCTTGCCCAGCTCATGTGCTAAGACAAAAGCTCCCACTCCTTTGGGAGAAACAAAAAAAAACAAAACAAAAAAAAAAAAAAAAACACAAAAAAAACCCCCAAAAAAAACCACCGTCCTTTGGGAGAAACCAAAAAAAACAAAAAAAAAAAAAACAAAACAAACAAACAAAAAAAAAACAAAAAACAAAAAAAAAACCCCAACAGCTCACCCTTTTTATTTTCAGTAAGGCTGCAGTCCTGCCTTTCTAGGCTCAAAAATGCACCTGGTCATGGGGCAGTACATGCAAGCACCCGCTCTGCTCCTCAGGTGGGTGAGAGGACTGGCACCAGGGAGCAAAGCCAATCTGAGAGACAGCTGGGGAAACCTGAATTTCAGCCATGATGCAGGTGTTTCCTTCCGTCTCTCAGGGCCAATTCACAGGTTTTCATCTCAAATTATAAATCACCAACACACGAGGGTTAAGCATTTTCCCTCCTTCAGCATCCTCCCTCCAGGCTGTGCAGCTACCACAGTGCCAGCAGAAAAGATCAGCAATATTTCCTTTATAGGATATAGTCTGAATTATTCCTCTAGAACACTTTCTCCTGGTTTGCTGTGATCCCTGCAAGATGGTGCAAAACACACACAGGACTCAACATGCAGAATCACTGGGTTCAGAGAAATTCACTGGGATTTTGTTTGCTTGGGAAATTCCCACAGCTTGACCAGATCCATCAGCAGTTCCAGAGTGCAGCAAGAAAAAGCAGCATGGAAGCAGGTTTTCTAGAGCTTGAGGGCTGTTTGGTTATGTTAATGCTCAAACACAAGGCTCCAGATAGCGATGCCAAGGTCTTGGCAAGGTTGCAGCTGATAATTCTTAAAATTACCTAAATAAAAAAAAGGCCTCCGATAAGAAAAGAACTGCAGAAACCCTTTATGCACTCATGCCATCTACTGGGTACACACAAAACCAGCAGAAAACCATGAGATGGGGGGAAAAAGGGATCCCATTGGGGTGGGCAGGTGGGGAGCTGCCACCCCTGAGGGTGGGAACCCTGCTGGAGAGGCTTTAGGGTTTCAGGTGATGCCTAAAAAGGAGGATTTTAACTGAGCAAAGTGACTCACTCATTCCTCCCCATCATCAGCCCAAGGAGACTCAGCCAGGCTCCAGCACGAGCTGCGAGCAATCCACCCTCAACTTTTTAACCAAGACCTTTTAAGGCCAAACAATTAGATAATGGCAGAGCCCACACCACTAAAATCCCAGAGATAAATGCATCCCAGTCCCCGCAGAATTACTGGAAGCCATATTAAGGGCATGAAGGAACTGGTAACAGATGATGATTGTACATAAAAGGAATAAGAAATCTTTGAGATTTGTGCTGCTCCCTGGTTGAGCCACTCGGCTCCAGCTCTGTGGTGTATTAATTGCTTACAAGGCTGCATGTATATTTTATGCTCAGTACCTGCCTGGAACATTTGTTGGATTTAGCCTTGATTGATGAACCACTGATTATATACTTCTGTGGTCCTCAGCAAATTAATAAACTGTTGACTGGTAGAGATTAACAACATGTCATGATTTGTGAATCTGTGTCCAGAGTAAAGCTGGAGCAAACCTAGTGCTAAAATTAGTAGGCAAATGCTCCCTGAACTCTATAAAAAGGGGATAGCTTAATTAAATTACATCCCGATATTGCCCATAGCACTTACCAAATTGGCAAATTGAGTTCACAGCAGTTCAGCTTCAAAACTAACTGACATCCCTGAAAATTTGCAGCACATGACCCCATCCCTTCTTGCACTGGAAGCCCAGCTCACACCCAGCAGGCACCAGCAGCAGGAGTGGGATGAGGAGGGGCAGCACAGGAGTGGGCAAAGAAAGTACCAGAATGCCTCAAACTGAACCTGTGTGAGCTCTGAGGCTCCACTCCCAGCCCCTCTGATCCCTCTCAGCACCACGCTGGGGGCAGTGCTGCCAGCCCATCCATTAGGCTTTTCCCTGGCCAATGGGCATGGTGCATGGTCAGAAACATGGGGACAGCTCCTTCCACACCTCTCCTCTCTCCCCTCCTTTGCCAGGGACTGACAACAGGTGATGAGAATAAAACACTGCACAGGGTTGGGAGAGCTGGGAAGCAGCATGGGCTGGTGTCAGTCCACAGGGAAGCAGGGAGACAAGGGCTGGGATGCAGTGTCTGTCCCCACACTCCCCCTGGGCAGCTCAGCTCTGCTGTCCTCAGGCTGGCACTGGGGAGCTTCACCCCAAGACTGGGAGCTCTGGAGAGGGACAGAGCAGCCTCATGCTCCCACAGAGGGGAGAAAAAGGAGTGAAGAGCACAGTGGGGAGAGACAGTCTCCCGTCCCCATGGGATGCACGGCCCCAGGAGCCTGCTGTGATGTGTAGCATGGGGGTTCCTGTGGTCCCCAAGTGTCACCTCTCAGCCACAGCTCTCGGGGAGGGGATGCCCTCCAGGAAAATGCTCCTGCTGCTCCTCCCTTTTCCCCTCCATTCTCTTTACACACAGATTCAGTCAGGCATTACAGAAGCTGGGGTCTGTTTTCCCCAGGTGACACGGTTTTCCTTTTCTGCCTCTCCACATGCCAGCACTAGGGCTGTAATTTATTGACAATTTCTATCCTAATATATCCTGACTTTAAAAAGAGGCACCACTTCCCAGAGGCGTGAGGTGATCAGAGCCCTGATTGCTTCTGACAGTGCCTGGGCAAAGATGTTGGCATTCAGAGCAAAATAACACCCTAAAAAAGGAGGAAAACGCCCCAAAAAAACTAGAAAGGCAGTTGTTCCCTGGAAGAAGGGGGCAAAGAAAAAAATGGCAATGGAAAAAGAAAGGAGGAAGGGGAGAGAGCAGCAAGGGGGAGATGGCACCAGGTTGCTGGTGACACATCAGACTGTCATGCTAAATGGCCTTAACAAGCAACCTGAGAAGGGGATAATGAAAACACCTCCCCCAGGGACAGCACGGCTCCAGCCTGACCTTTCCCAGCTGCCGTGTACAAACATCTTCAATAAATAAAGAGACACTTACCTCCTGTCTCTGCTGAGACAGGAGGGATGTGGTGAGGGGCCCTGCCTGCAGTGAGGTGAGGGGTTCCAGGGGTTTAGGAGCAATGAATGTGTGGTGGAGGGGCTGGCGGAGGGGGTGACAGCTCTGGACCCCCTCGGGGGTCACCACGGTTTCCTGGCAGGCAGAGCCTTCAACAACAGGCACAAAGGGATGCTCCAGGTTTGCCCTGCTTCCCAAGGCTCTGTCCTGTGTCTCTGCACGTCATCCTGGATTCACACAGGCTCCTCAGGCAGGGAAAGGATGACTTTGATGTCTGGGTGAGGTGCTGAGCTCTGCTGCTCCCAGCTGGAAGCACAACAAAACCCCTCTGGGCATTGGTGCCGGGAACACCTCCCTGGAACTGTTCACAGCCAGGCTGCACTGGGCTCTGGGTAACCTGGTCCAGTGGAAAGTGTCCCTGCCCACGGCAGGGCTTAGGACAAGATGACCTTTAAGGTCCTTTCAAACTCAAACCCTTCTAGGATTCTAAGATTCAGAGCCACGGCCCAAAACTAATGGTCTGGGGTCTAGGAGATCTTCTGGACTCTGCAAAACCTGGGACTCAGTAGATTGTTTGGTAAGACATCAGCATGTTCAGAAACAAGTCAAGACTCTGAGGGTGTCAGAGATGCCCAGAGATGGATATGATGGGGGGATGCTCCATCTTTCTTCTCACTGGGAAGCACAAAGCAGGAGAAAAAGCAAGGCAGCTTTCCATCCCTGCTCCTTGACAAGCAGGAAAATGACCACCAGCCTCAATATTTTTTTTTTCTTTCATTTGCTCATCTGGGCACCTGGGCTGCTTCCCTGGAATCCTTAAGGCATTTGTGCTTTGCCATGAAGGCCCCAGGACTGGGGGAAGTCCACCTCCAGCCCACACATCCCCTCAGCCACAGGAAGCAGGAGCAGGTCACATCTCCCTCTGGCTTGTCTCCAAACCAGAGGACAGCCCTGAGAACCCCACAGCCCCAGTACCAACCCCACAGCCCCAGTATGTACCTCAAAGCCCCAGTACTTACACCAGAGCCCCAACACCAACCCTATAGCCTCAGTACTCACCCCACACCCCCAGCACCTACCCCACAGCTGCAGCACCTACCCTACAGCCCCAGTATAAACCCCACAGCCCCAGCACCTCCCCCACGGCCCCAGCACCTCCCCCACGGCCCCAGCACCTCCCCCACGGCCCCAGCACCTCCCCCACGGCCCCAGCACCTCCCCCACGGCCCCAGCACCTCCCCCACGGCCCCAGCACCTCCCCCACGGCCCCAGCACCTCCCCCACGGCCCCAGCACCTCCCCCACGGCCCCAGCACCTCCCCCACGGCCCCAGCACCTCCCCCACGGCCCCAGCACCTACCCCACAGCCCCAGCACCTACCCCACGGCCCCAGCACCTCCCCCATGGCCCCAGCACGTACCACACAGCCCGTGGAGTCCACCTTGCGGTCCGACACGCACTTGAAGTTGCGGGTGCAGCCGCCGTTGTTGCGGGAGCAGTCGCGGACGGGCCCGAAGGAGGAGAGCAAGTCATTGATGGTTTCGAAGTAGGTGGACAGCATCGCTTCTTCCCTTGGAGAGAAAAGGCACCGTTAGGGCTGGCAGGGAGCTGGCAGGGCACGGGCACAGGCAGGGCAATGCACAGAGAGCTGCTCTGGCAAAATCCCTGATTAGAGATACCAAGGCAAAGGAGACATCCCAAGGAAATGAGGGGTTTGTGATTATGCTCTACAATAAATTTGCTGCATAACTCTGGCATCCTTCACAGAATCAACCAGTCATGGGGTTTCAAAGATACTATCCACCAGTTTTACGCAAACTAGCAACCAGGAGATGCTTTATTAGTAGACTGGGGCTGGGTGTGAATCCAACCCTACGCTGGACAACAGCAAATTCAGAGCCATAAAACTCTTACTGAATGTTTCACAGCTGGGCCAAACCTCCCTGAGCATCCACACCCTGTCCACCCCAGGGACACTGCCAAATCTGGAAAGACACATGGAACGTGCCTTTGTGCTTGCTGGGATGTGGATGTGGAACAGATAATGCAGGGATGGGTGCAGGCACAGCTCTGCTGCTCTGCTCCAGCCCACAATGGGCAAAACCCCAGGCACTGCTGTGCTGTGAAACCCCTCAAGCAAGAAGCAGGAGCACCCAGGAATAATTCCAAGGCCATGTGAAGCCTTGGGAAGCTCCCAGCCCTGCCTCTCAGAGCTGCACACGCAGCAGATTTTGCCTGTGACAAAGCATTCAGGCACTCTGCCTTCTGCTGGATTCCTGCAAAAGGAACACACATGCTTGTCAAGAGCTTTAAGCATCTCCAAGATATTTTTCATCTTCAAAGAACAGTTTATATGTTAACCAATACCCACAATGCATCCTGGGCAACAGAACTCATCACCTGACAGGAGAGAGACAAAGTGATCAGAGAGAGAGGAAGGTCACAGAACAAGTCACTGATAGTGACAGACTTGACCTCCACAGGCTGTTTATTAGATCTTTACCCACAGGAGGCTGCAAATTAACCCTGATCCCTCCGACCTCAATACCCCTGAGGCAGTGCTGGGAGTCACAGCATGGTTTATTCTCCTTGAGCCTCTCTCCTGCTTGGCCATCAGCACAATGACCCAATGCCCTGCTCTGCTGTCTCTTTTTTGGGGGGTTTAATGTGAAAACAATCTGCTTGGCAATGAAACAGCAGTAGAGGAATATTCATCAGCCCTGGAGGGCCAGGGTGGTGCTGCCTGGAAGCAGCCCTGCATTCTCTATCAGCAGAGGGCCCCTGAGCTCACACGCTGTCACACTCACGCACACAGCCCTGCCAACACCGAGCGCTCAAGAAATCATGAGTCAGGCATTAAAAAAGAATATAATGCAACTGGCACCAAAATGATGAGATTTTAAAAATAAATCAATTGCTGCACTGTTTTGGGTAGGTTGTTTTTTGGGGTTTTTTTTGTTATATTTTCCTCGCCTAAATTTGCTTTAGGGTATAATCAAGCTTTTCCCTGCAAACTCAAGGGCTAGAAACTCCTCAGAGACCAAACCCAAATAAAGCCCTATGCAGTATTGACATCGTGATTTTTTTTTAGATTCAGGATTTCAAGGCAATCCCAGGACTCCAAAAGCTGGGACTGTCAATAAGAAAAACACCACTAAAAGCAGTGAGAAATATTAAATTGGCACATCCCCATGGGCTGGGGTGGATGAGTTATCTCAGCACTGGGGCAGCTCTGTGTTCACTGTGGTGTCCCACATAGCAAACTCATGTCTGTGCTGCCAGCTCTCACCCCAATTAATGCTTCCCAATTAACTTTTCACTTGTAGCAATCAAGCTCCTGATATTCTCCCTTTCTTGGCCCACCTCCTAGATTTTCCAGCATATTTGGAGAAGAATCTCCCTCTGTCCTTTCTTGGTCATGTTTCAAATATCTTTAGAGGCCGTTTTCTATTAGCACTCTGTTCCCTCCAGGATCTGCAGCTCCTCTGCAATGAGGGAATGAGAAAGGCAGGATATATTAGATCAGGGCACATATTTCTGCTGGAGAGATGGGGGGAAGGAAGGGGATATTATTTACTAACTAAACCCACTGTTTATTAATGTAGGGAGGATTATTTTTAAAAAGCCCAAACCAACAAACCGTGACAGCTCCTCCGCCACCCACCCCAAAAAGCTCAGCCCCATCTGGTCCTCCCAGGGGGTTTCTCATCGTGGGTGGACAGCAAGGAGAACCATGCTCCCATCCTCCCTCCTGGCTTTCCACTGAGCCACCAAACAACCCACATGCCTGGAAGGAGAAGGTGAGGAGCTACAGCTGCTCTGGGTGGTGGAAAGAAGATTCTGGGGCTGGGCCCTTGCACAGGATTGCTCCAGAGAGACAGAATTCTGTCAGGAGACATCGGCTCATCCCACATGGCACCAAGCTGGGGTGGCAAGGGCAGCTTGTCATGCTTTAATTAAAACTTGGAAGCACAAAGCACCTCCTGCCCTTGGGAGGGCTGAGGATGGGAATGGGAAACTCGTGCTCCAAAGCCTGGCATAATGGATGACCCCTGCCAAAGCCCAGGAAGGGCTGGCAAGCTGGAATGAGCCATTAAGCACATTAAAATATTAACCTCGCTGGGAAGTGTTCAGGTGTCACCTGTGAGAGGAGCAGGGTGAGGGCAGACGCTCTGCACGATCAGTTCTGCGTGGCCATCGTTCCATTAGAGGAGCTTCACTTCAACACACAGCCCCGACAGGGATGGCAGCTCATGAGAGCCTGATGTGATGCTCAGAGCAAGCTGGGAGCAAACTTCACTTTGATCTGCCTCTGGAGGGGCTGCAGGAGCCTGGATCAGTGCAGGCAGGTGCCCCTGGCACTGCCAGCCTCAGCAGCTCCTGTCAGTTTTGGGAGTGAAGAGCAGTCATTAATTACCTGCCCTCTGCAGTGACACGTGGCACGGAGCAGATCACTTTCCACCCACACAGCTCTGCCAGGGACCCCTGCCTGTCCTTCCCTGCCCACCGTATGGGGCTCCTGCTCTCACATTCCAGAGCCAGCCCTGGAGAGAAAGCAGAGCCCACAAGGGAGGGGACACTTGGGGAGCGATGGCAGCATCTGGCCACCACTGCAGGGAGCCCCTGGGGACAGCCAGCCCCACCACTGCCCGGGTGCCACATCAGACCAGCCCTGATGGATGAATCACTTGCCCTGCAGTAACAAGCTGCCTGCAAAAGAACAGCTCTTGTTCTCCATCTCCTCCTGCTGGATTTCAGTGAGTAAGCCCTGGATCTGTTCTGACAGGATGGGATGGAGAAGGACAGGCTCCGTGTCCTGAGTGCATCAAAGAGCCAGGGAAGCTGCTGGCGGCCCTGCTGGACCCAGGTGCCAAAGCCCCAGGGAGTAGGCAGGGCTCAGCACCTGGGGCACTGGGAGGATGGGGAAATCCATCAGTGACCCGAAGCCAGGTGCTGCCAAAAAGGCCATTTTGGAGAGAGTGACCTAATGTCTGGTGCCAGATCCTCTCCACAAGCCCATGAACATCTACGAACACACACCCACACACACACTTCTTTAACTCTCCAGCTCTCCCAAAGACACCTGCAGACACCCAAATGATACTGTTATAAATTAAACACACTCCCCTCCCTGCCAGGACCATCTGAACACACACCCAGCATCAGTAAAACCCAATTTTTTATCAACATCTTGTGGCATAAATGTCCAGCATGGTGCAGCACAGCAGGGCTCCCCTCCTGACTCTGCTCCCATGGTGCAGACCATGGCACCCATCCTCACACAGCCCCATTCCACCTCCCATATCACCTGCACTCGCCTGGATTCCCTCAAAACCACTTTTTTGCACTCCCTCCCTTTGTTCCAGGTCTCATTAATGAAGCAGATTCACTGACAAATACCGCTGGGGGTTATTTATTCATGAAATACCAACACCAAGCAATTCTCACAGCCTCCAAAGCATTCATCCCAGAATAAGCTCCAGAGCTTTGCAGTGGGCTCTTCTCTCCAGCTCATCCTGAAGGGGATTAGTGGGTGTTATTCAACTCTGCTGCCCCTTTTTATTGCCTGCTAATGGTTAAAGACTTCAGTGCCTTACAAAGTTCACCATCGATGAGAAAAATAAAGAAAAGAATGTGAGCTGGAGACTAAGCCAGTGCCATCTGCTCCCTGAGCTGGGTTTGGAGAGGGATCAGGGTGGGAACTTGAGGTTCAGGAGTTTCTAGAGACAGGCTCACTGGCACCACAGCGTGTGATGCTGTGTCACCTGCAGCTTCACCCAGAACTGCCCAGCACAGCCCAGCCAGGAGGGCTCATGCCCAGCACCTCGTGCTGTTTCCTGATTCTATTGAGCAGGGAACTTCAGAGCTGCTGCACTTGCAAACCAGGACAGAGCAATTTTCACCCAGATTCTGCATTTTTCAGCCCAGCTGCTGCTTGTCTGAGCAGTTCTGAGCAGCTCTCCCACGATGCCCTGGAAAATTCATCACAGAAATGAGCATGGAGGGTGAGCAACACATGGATCCCAGCTGAGGGTGTACTGCAACTCATAATCACATTTTTTAAAAATTATATATAACCACTAAAACCCCAAGCTGCAGCTGCAAAGCCCAGATTCAGAAGTAAAGAATTGATCAGCACATGGGACTGGGACCTTGGCTGCAAGTGGAGCCTTTGGGAGCCCTTGGTGCCATCACCTGCAGCCCCAGCACCACACTCAGCACATGGCATTCCTGCCCTCAGCAAAGGCAGAGCCACCCCTTCCCCAGGGAGTCCCCTCCCAGGACCCCTGTGTGTCACAAACATTCATTTTTACTTTCAGCTTCTGTACACTGGGGGTGATGATTTTCTTCACATTTTAGACAGGCAGCCAAGGCAACAAGAGAAGAGGATGGAAAGTGCTCACCGCTGCTGGATGGCCAACCGAAGATCCTTTCCAAGTTATTTTTAGTATTTCTAGCACTTCCCACACTCACACTACAATTCCAGCTGAGCCTGATGCACTACAGGCTCAGCTGTTCCATACTGAGAGCCATGCAGTTAAACACCCAAATTATAATGGGCATACAATAA